TTTAAAAGCTATATTGCTATGATTATATTCCACATATTCTAGCAATTTATTTACAAAAGATCAGAATTCTTCAGGAATCCAAATTTGAAATTTGTTGACTACCACATACGATAGCGGATCACATGAACACTGCACTGCACTACCATGTTCATATATAATTATCAGACTAGGGATATAATGCATTCACTTTGTGAGTCCAAAGAGTGATGTGGTAGGTTTTATACCATACTTGGTTCACCACAAATTTATTAAATAAAAAAGAGTTGGGCATATTAACAAAATATGCTAAGTATTAAATTATAGCTTAAAAACCAAAATGGGTTGACCATGCAGATGCAAAATAAATCACACTGTACAAATCCATCCTGTACACATTTCTCTTCAAAAGGAACATCTAGAACTTTCCGTGTCACATCCTTCCTTATATAGAAAGCAGAGGGGTATACACCTGTCAGCCCTTCAGCCATGCATTCTACAGTATATGCCTAGTTAGATGAGGCAAAGAATTATTTATGGTCGAGATATTGGCTCAAGGCCTAACAACATCAGTAGCTAATTATAAACGTGCATAGGAATCCATTAAGCCCTAGTAAGCAAGAAGGAAGATTTAACCCTCATTTCTTGCATCACAACTGCAAGAGAAAAAAAATCACCTGTTGTCACCCTATCATTATTCTCTAATAGAAGCTCTCACCAGCACCAATGGGAATTATTTTTGAACCTGTAACATTGGAAGAAAGGGACAGTTTTTTGTTTGTTTGTTCTACTCATAGCAGGGCATGATGTGAGAGAAACACTTCCCCTGGATGTTGAGGTTTTAATGATATTCCAATCTGTGCACTTAATTGTGTGGGGTGGAAGATGCACCTGTTTCTGGTGGGAGAAAGAGAAAATTTAGGATTCCAATTGACATATGTGTATGTAGTTTGGCCTTTATTTCCATGCCTATAAAAACAGACTTTTTTTTTTTTTTGGTTGTTTAATTTTGAAACCTCAAGTGTGGTGCTTCTTATCCACTTAATTCTGCTATTGCATTCTGCTATTCCTACTATCGTGAAAAATGAACGGGATATTAATGAGGAGCTTAGTATAATTGGCATGTAAATAATACAAACATGTAAGTGACACAACTCTTGTACCTCTATTTGGGCTAATATTTTCTCAAAAAGACAATAAAGCTTCCCCCTCCTTTGTTTCTCCAAGGTTTGGTGGAGAAGGGGGATTAATTATGAACTGAATGCTTTGAGCAGACATATAGACTGTGTAGAAAAAGTTTTGATTATTTATAAAACTTGATTCAGCATACGCACATAAATTAGAAAGCTTCCTTGATGAAATATTTCATGAAGTATGAAACTCTGGAGCTAAGAAAGGTAGAGCTTTCGATTATAATTTTTATGAGCAAAACATAATAATGACATTTTTGTATAATCAAAGTTATCAGTATCTCACTGATTATCATCTTATCTTGTCTTATCATCTTAGCATTAGTTTACTTTCCTTGAGGAAACTTATGACTTTATGGATGATCCCTTTTCTGCATTTTCAGAACAGTTTTTAGCCATTGCCATCCATTGAGCCTCATGACTGGGCTGAAGTTTGAGCAAGAGTTTAATATATATATATTACATTTCACTTTACCTTTAGGATAGTTCTGAATGGATTACTGAGTTGATTTTAAAGGACCTCTGAAAGCTACAATAGACACTTTAATGAATCAATGATTTGAGTACTAATATCAAGAGACATATTACACAGGAACAAAGAGCCCTTATTTTAGACTGAAGACTTCATTAGTCTTTACGTTGCTAAATATAACATTGTACTTCCTATATTGACCATTTAGAGATATTGCTTCTAGGAAACCTACAATATATATATGCATAATAGCAATATTGAAAATAATATCTACTCAGCATGACTTTGGTTCTTAGTGTTATGGCACAAGATTGTATTGTATTGTATTGTGTTGTGTTGTGTTGTGTTGTGTTGTGTTGCGTTGCATTGTATTGTATTGGCAGAAGATATTATGCAGCAACCTTGAATGTTTGTAATGTACAATACTTTTCTTCAGCTATGAATAAACCAAATTCTTTTGTCAACCCAATATTGTCAAAGCTTTAGCTACTGACCCTCTAATCATGAGAATAATATGAATCAATATAGTCTTTTAAGGACTATTGAAACAATAGGAAATGCTTCAAATAGTGAAATATAAGTTAATAACAATAACAAAATGCTATGGATTCATTGCTAATTTCACGTGCATTACTTATTATTTGCACTTTTTATCAGTATGTATCTAAGTTCAGATCAAGTTGTTCTTATTATTAGAAACATGTTACAATATTTTGAATTTACTCAATTGATACTACATATAGGAAAATAAAATGTATGCTGGAATCCATGCTATTTGAGATTTCCCAATGTTGCTTTCAAATCTATAAAAGAAAAAAACATATGGTGGAAAATATAGTGTAAGTATGTATGTGTGTGTGTACACACATATATGCACACACATACACATAAACATTACTGTTTATATACAGTATAATGTGTGTGTATATGTACACACACACACATATATATATATGTGTGTGTGTGTGTGTGTGTGTGTATATATATTTGTTTATGTAAGTATTTGTTTATATACATACACACACATACATACATACATACACACATACTGTATGATAGGAGCCATGAAGTAAAAAAGTCATTGTATCATGGAAATGCAAAAATGTATATACTAGTGAAAGTACATTTAAAACAAAGAGAAAAAAGTTAATCTCCTCCCCAAATCAATACAATACCAATCAAGTATTGAGAGTAATAGTACGCAATGGGCAGAATTGATATAAATGAATCTAATGATACACAAGTCAAGATCCAACTCATATAACACAATTTTCCTCCAGTAAATTCCAATACAAATAGATGTGCTAGAAGAGAAATGGTCACTCAAGTAAAGGATACACGTCTTGCATACACAAGGCTCAAGGTCAAAGCCTTGAAAAGTCCAGCTTAAAAGAAGAGGTAGCAGGTGATGGGAAAGACTTCAGTTCAAGACTGCTGCTAATCCAAGTTGACATAGCTGGGCTACATTATTTTCTTACTTGGTACAGATCTTTAATTCTTATGAAATGTACAAGCATGTTTCTATACTTTAGAAGATTAGAATGATGCAAATTGGCAGGGTATTCAAATAGCAATTTATCAAGGTAGTATAACACTTTTATTCCAGGATGAGAGGGAGGGAGGGAGGGAGGGAGGGATGGAGAGAGAGAGAGAGAGTGAGGGAGAGGGAGAGGGAGAGGGAGGGAGAGAGAGAGAGAGAGAGAGATGGTGATAATGATAATTCTAAACCATAAATTTAAGCGATATTAAGAATTCAGGCACCTACTTCCATCTTTCTTTTTAAGGCAATCTCTAAAGAAAGATATACTTACCTAGTTCAAGTTCTATGTACTACATGTGTAGAGGTTGTAAGCACTGTGAATTGTGCAGAGTATAAATATATGGTATAGCATACAAATTAAGTAAGTTTTGAACTGTGACGTCTCTAATTCAAATCCCAACTCAGCTACAAAATCAGACGCTTTGCTTTCTTTTTTTCTTTTCTTTTCCAAAAAAAAAAAAATGTAATTGATTTTGCTTTATCTACCATACCCTTTTCTCCCTACAGCACAAGTATGATAATACACTGGCATTCTCTTCAGGTCACTTATAAAGAAAAAACCATAAGTGATAAAATATGTGCCATATACAAATGCTGAGAACTGTTGTCCCAGTTAATACTTTTTAATTAACCTTGCAAAAGCATCCATAACAGTACAGTGCAGTATTACATTATAATTCTGATTTCTTTTATTACATTTCAAACCACTCTTCGAACACACTTTTTGAAAGTTTTCACATTAAAGAAACCAAAAATGAAGACAGAGAAGACACTACATGTGTACTCCCTTCTGTTTTCACAAACTTCTTAAATAGTCTTCACTTTTCCAATTTATGTTTTTGGTAACTTGTAGAATGATTTAGACTGAATCCATTGGGAATCTGATACTCTTGCCATGCTTTGGCTAGTTAACCAAGAGTAGTTTTAGATGGCAGAATCTGAAGACTTTTATTTAAAAGATTGCTAATCTTTTAAGTCACGCTGCTTTCATCTACTTTATATCCTTTTCCAATAAAATACCTCAACCGTCAGTTTAGTTCTCTCTCTTAACATGCTACTGTTCTCTCTTTGTTCTACCAGTTCCTGACCTTTTAATCAAAATGACTATTCATGTCACACTTTATTACTGCTGACAGCTACAGATTTCATTTTCCTAACACATCACAAGCAATTCTTTCCCTCACACCCCCACTGAAATTCAGCTGTTAATCTTGCAAGAGGCAACCATTACATGCCAGGCTTTATGTTTAAGCATCCTCATATATATCCCTGTGTGAATATATATGTTCCTTTAAGATTTATGATTTGTGTGTGAGTGTGTATATGTGTATACATACATACACATCTACACACATTATTTCTAACATGAAATATTGAATAAATACTCCCATATCAACTTTAATCATCACTGCTTGCCTTTATTTTGATTATAATATTTTTTATTAATCTAACTATGCTTTATAATAATAATAATAAATAGTGATATGCCTTTTACATGCTTCATTCATATATCTATATAGATCTCTGTAGACAATCCAAACAGTTCAGTGGGATGCTGAAGATCAGGAAATGTCTCTTCTCTAAGAAGAGTTTGCCCTTTTACAGGTTAAAAAACAATGAAACAGACATTCTCTTGAGACAATAGTTCTATTCTGGAATACTTCTTCCTAAACTCAGTTTCTCTATTCCTCCAGCTCTCTCTCTCTCTCCTTATACAACAAACGGACAGAGCTGCTGCACTGCAGAATGTCAGTTTACTCATTTAGAACTTTCAATGCAGAAATAGAGAGTGATGCAGTCAACCAGATAACGCAGCACTTACCTTAATTGAAAATCCTTTCTTTTGACAAAGTGAACAGAAGGAGGCAAGTTCAGCCGTTATTTAGAGGGCAATCTAAGTTTTCAATCAGCACCCTTCAGGTTAAGAATCATCCTGGGCTGTCGTTTGCTCTTGACGTTGAACTCTTCACTGTCTAGGAAAAAAAAAAAAAGACGGGAGAGAAGGAAAGATCAGCTGGAATCCTCCGGAGAGATCCTGAGTAAAGTGAGAGTACAGAAGCCCCGTGGCTTAAAAGGAAGATGTTCAACAAAACATCTTGGGTCTGAAGAATCCTGTGGCTGCTGCGAGAGGTTTTTATCATGTCCCTTGAGCTGAAGAATGATCGCTGACCTGATTAACACACAGCACACTCCTTACACATAGAGAAAGCACTGGGAGGATTCCTGGTCCACCAGGGAGTCGCAAAAGACACCGAGGCCACTTGGGAATGTCATCTCATGCAGATTAATAGATGTGCTGCTCCAGCTGAGGTTGTAATTTGCAAGGTGGGTAATGCACAGCGCAAAGCAATTTAATGATTTCAAAAGGAACTGTGTTTCTGCAATGCTCCTTTTTCTAAGGTGCGTCAGCATTCCTAACAGGTTATGACTGATTAATTAAAGCAGATGGATGGAGCTGGTTTCATGATAGGATGCTCAGCATATACAAAACATGGGGAGCTGAAGGGTGAGGAGGGAACTCTGATTTCAGCTTAACAGAAACAAAATTATTTTGGTGGGCAAACCTCCCAGATGGCAATTTACTATTGTTGGGTAGGGGGGGAGTAGTTTTTGCATGGCACATTTATTAGTGGGAGTAAGCCATTAGATGTGCAAAGTTATATTCCATGAGAGAAACACTCCCTTAAACAAGGTTACCAAATGGGCAGCCAATTTTATAAATGCACAATGGAGTTTCCTGAGGTTTTAAAAAAATAGATGCCCAAGGAAAAGAAAGAAGACAGGTTATACAGTACATCTGGTATTTGTCCAATTATAAAACCATTGATCAATGGATGGATCAAATACTAGTCCAGTATTTAAGGTTGTTATTAACCTATTTGCTTTTGGTTACATTTGCATCTCAGCTTTCCATTAAATAATGCTCAAGGAATAATAATAATTTTTAAAAATGCACAATACGAAATAGTAGAACAAATGTCTTGCATAGAGAAGCTCCCAGGTTCTTTCCTAGGAAAGGCACCTGTTGGCAGTCTTGAGCCTAGTTAAATCAATGGTGCAATTTTATGAAAGGACATATTTTGTATACCTGGTTATGTATAGCCTCCTTTCCTGCAGAACATGTGAAATTCATTTAGTGATCATCTGCATCAGATACAGTAGTTGATCTTTACAGAATCTGGGGTGCCATTGAATGGCAATAAAACACAAGTTGCTCAATAAATTATCCACTATTGATGTAGGAGGGGCAAGAGAATATCATTTAGATGTTATGCCTCAAGGATTAGTATTTTGTTGTCTCTCACATTCCTGATGTCTGGATTTTTACAACTTATATACTACATTGAGGCTAGGTACCTGGCTTATGCTGCTATCTAACTCCTCTATTTGACACCCATAGATTTTTGCAGCCAGGACCATCAAAAGTAGAGACATGCAACTTGTTTCATAGGGAAGAAATTTATTGGAAACAGTTGCGGTACAGAAAGTGTCCCTATTCCTAAATAAAGAAATGGTATGTGTGCATCATCCGAATTTTGCAGGACTGAAAAGAAAGAGGCTATCATTCTTACCATTAATATTGGATGACAACATGATACAACAAAAGGGAGAAACTATAACACATTAAGTAAACAGGCCATTATTGAATTCCCATACTATTTCAAAATATTTGAGAGAAGCCATTTGCCAGCCTGACTTACACCACACTGTCCCCTTGCCCCTACACACACTTGAACTGAATAGTTTCCTTAATCACAAAAGTGTTTAGGAAAACAAAATCATGTGCTCTTGTACAACATTGAAAATAATAATGATATATATATATATATATATATATATATATATATATATATATATATATGCTAATTTAGCATGTCTACCTATCTATATTTTACTGACTGACATACATTTAACCTTATTTTCTTACAAGGAGGTCATCAGCATGAATTATTTCCTCATCATCATATATAAACATCCTTACAAACATCCTGCAGAATAGATTTGGAGGGGAAAAGTGAATTGGCAGAAAATTACCCACTAAATTTTAAATTAGATCCTTGACTTACATACTGACTAAAAGTAAAAATGCAACCAAAAAGTCTGTTTATGGGTGAAGTTAAAGAAGCTACGAAACAACCAACAATTTCAGTGAGTTGCCAACTGGATCAGATAGCAAGCCTTATTCAATCACAGTATTCATAAAGGAAATGAATGTTACAGTCGGAGCCAAAACCAAACATTAAGAAAGTGTTTCCAGGGACAAAGAAGAATGCAGAGTATAAGACAGTCAATAGATCAGTCTAGAGCAGTTGTTTCAATAGTTCCTTAGGATCTGGGGATTTTTAAATCCATAACTTTTAGAACAACTAAGTAAAAGTGCACTACAAGGTATGCATATTTGAAGAATTCTTTATAGAAGAGGAATCTGATTTATCCAGGATTCCATAACATCCTCTTTGATCAGCTTTGATCACACAAGAATAAAAAACCCTTAATTTAACAGAACCACATTTAGTGGACATCCAATGACCCAGAAAAATATATATATACCTACCGGTATTTCTCCCCTTGAAACAACACTTATGTCCATCATTACAAAAATGATGTGAATGGTTTCCTATGAGTTCACTATCTCAAATTTAAATGCAATCATAGATTCAAAATGTTGATTTATTCACCAACTATATTGAGTAGATGGAACCGTCTGAAACAATATTTGGGGAAAATCCCCTGAATTCTCTTACAGTGGATAGTGAATAGTAAAGATTGGGGATATGAGAGACTGTGTGGTTTGAATATTAATAAAAATTTATCTTGTTTACATTTTATGACAGAATATGCAAATACTACTGCTACTACTACAGTCGTTCAATGTTGACCTATGGTAATCTAATAAAAATATTCCAGTTTCCTTAGCTTGAATTTAAATAGAGCCACAATGAATGACTCGGGAACTGAGAAAGATATACTTGCAAACTGTAGATTAACCAACTGCTCTTTGGCACTCAAATACAAGAAAATGCAAACAGGTCGTCTTTGACATATAACCATTTGTTCAGCAATTGTTCAAAGTTACGGTGGCAGTGAATGTCCCTAAAGTAATGGCTGTTAAATGCTACTGCAATCTTGTGATCAAAATTCAGGCACTTGGTAGTCCTTCTGCCCTTGTGACCTCAGTAGTTGCTTCAACTCTCCCCATCTTCCTATCTCCCCTATCTATACTCCTTTACCCCCTGCATCCTGCAGCTGCTGTCACCCTGCAAGCCAGTTTTCTTCTCCAGGTTGTGCAAAGTGGTTTCCTTGCAAGACCTGGAGAAAATGGCCTCACATGGTCAGCAACTGACTCATGAAGGCTGTTAAGGATATTGTTGTGTTACCAACCAGCAGAGTGCAGAACACAGAGAAATGTTGCTGAGAGCAATGAATAAGAAATGTTCAAACTGGTTTATCAAAAGTTTACTTTATAGTGAAAAAACAATCTCATAGTCTTTAAACAATCCAAGTCTTTGCCAGTTAAATCAGTCCAGTGATATAAAAATCTTCTTACCATACAAACAGTAGTTGGTTAGAATAACAAGTTCACTCTGGTAACAAACCACGACGGTAGCAGATCCATCCACCGATGATAGCACAATGGTAGCAACTCCACACACAATGGTAGCATATCATCAACTGAATACGTTACAGTACCTTTCTTAAATACGTTTACAACTAGTGATTATCTAATTACAGCATGACCCAGCATTACAATGAATCAGCAGTAAAACTTAAAGTCACACAATACATATTCATGTTAAAGTCACAGAACACATATATTGCCTGGACAACCTGTTAGGCTCAAACCATATCCTAACAAAGGCCAACATGAGCATGCCTCATCTGCAGCTGGAGCAAGACACCAAAGGTCAGTTGATCTGGCAAAATAGAAGGGTGACAAGAGTCTTGGAACACAGGAAAATCAGGGTATCTGGACGGGAGTCTATGGGGTTTGTGCTGCACTGCTGGGTGTCAGCATTGCACCAAGATTCTAGGGCAGCTGGGACTACCTGGGTTGATGGTTTTGCACCATGCCTTTGCTTTGTGCCATATGGTGACCCAGACTGGTACTGGGCTTTGTTCTATGAAGGGCTTCATTCTGCGCTGCAACTCCAGGGATTCTTGTAGCACCAAAGCTTCAGTACACCCAGAAGTCTCTTTGTGTCATACTGCTGGGCTGAACTGGAGCTGGTGTTCATGCTGTGCTGAGGATCAAGGTCTACTTGAACCCCAGAGCACATCAAGAAGTCCCTGAACTATGTACTTTGAGGACTGCTTGTGGCCTCGCAAGGCAAGGAGCAGGGTGGCCAAAACAGCAGATACAACATGTGAGTGCGAGGAATTGAAAAGGAAACAATCCTTTATCTTACTGAGGCTCAGGTCTAGGAGGGGCCACACCAAGAATGGCTTGGATTGGGATGGGTATTTAACAACCTGCAGTTTTCAAATAACAACAAAAATAGGAAATGCTAGAATTTCCATTGCTAAATCATGCAGACACATGACATCAAACACTATGACTGCATTGCTTAATAATGTAAATACCCTGTTGTGATCGCACGTTGAAGACTACCTATAGTGAGAATATGCTAATAGCAGCAGCAAACACAATTTCCTTAGATTTGGTTTAATTATCACATTGTAGCGAGAAGAGGGAATCTAGTCAAGATAAAATCTACCAAGGAGCTCTGTTTATCTGAGTTTTTGGCCCCATATATTAGTGACTAGGTTTGCCTATAATCCCTCTTCTGTTTTGATTAAGAGTATCTATCCTCTGCCTATGCACCAGGTGTTCGTCTATGAGAAAACCTTTGCAAATTGTGCTCTGTGATGTGTTGCCATTGTCCCATAGCATGCCAATTGCCAGTTCCTAATTGCTGCCCCATATGCAGGTTTGCCAAATTTATCTTGGACCATCAAACAGAATATTTGAGGG